GTTCCCAGTAGAGTCCCTTTAATTAAGGCACCATGATTTTTAAACACCATCCCTATAAGTCTGGATACTCCTGCAGCCAACAACACAGCAGCCGGGACGCCATTTTACAAAAATAGAAATAATGACAGTCAGAATAGTAGAAATACTGCTCACGTTCATAACAGCAATCATGGTCAGGGCACTAATAATACTAACAACAACCCAACCCTCCCGAAACATCACAGCCTATGGAGGTCATCCAAGCGGCGTGTTGATTTCGAGCAACTCTGGCCCGAAGTGGTAGCGGATGAAGCGACAGGCATCCTAGAGCTCATACATGTTTATAGGATTGAGGGTATGATTTCCTCATTGGGAGATTTGCAAAATGTGTACTCGCACATTTCTGGTTCGATTTTCGGTATGATAGGAACTCAACAATGTTTAGCAATGTGCCTTGCGGCTGCCGAGTATGGGTTGTAGTTAATTAAAGCTATCAGCCACAGGCTTAGGACGAAAGTGGGATAGATTTAGGCCACCTGTAAAATTCAGTCTTTCACGGCTCTTTGGCGAATATGGAAACACATTCCAGGGAATACCCCATTAAGGTCTACAGGAACCCCGAGGATGGCTACGATATTACTCTCCCATGGGGGAACTATCGTGTCTCTATTTGAAACACTACTCAATTGAGTGCACGGTCCGTGGATGCCTGCATGGCGCACGTACGCTTTGGGAGCAGCCGGGGTTTAGGGTTAGGGCTTAGTTTAGGGCTTTGCCCATCCAAGTCAAAATCTACCGCATAGAGTTTATGGGTTTAAGGTATAGCCACAAAAACGATCCAGAAATCCGAAAAAGCCACATAACCCCACCATCCCCACAGAACCCCGAAGGCGGTCATATAAACGACAGTATCTTTGGGGCGGCTGTGTGGGGTCTTATGTGAGCGGCAGCAAACAACCATCCGGAAGATCCAGGCCCGCAGTGGCTAAATATGACACGTTATGACATCAAAAAAGACGTGAAACATCGAGAACCCCCAAAACGCCAAACTTGTCAATTTTCATGGCCGACAATCCATGCAACCCACTCTAACCCTAAGCCCTAAACGTTCCCCCCAAACCCTAAGCTAAATTTAAAACCCTATACCCTAAACTCTGAACCCTAAACTCTACCCCTGGAAGCAGCACATCATTTTGAGGAGCCCGAACTCCTTAGCAAGCCTGGAAACCTAAACCTCGGACCCCCAACCCCAACCTCCAACCCCAAACCATAAACCCTATGTAGAGGATTTAGGGTTTAGGGTTTGGGCTTAGGGTTTAGGGTTTGGGCTTAGGGTTTAGGGTTTGGGGTTTGGGGGATTAGAGTTTGGGGCTTAGTACCTCCATATATCGAGGGCTCCTGGGTTGTACCCCTAATGTCGTATCCATATATCAAGGGTTCCTGGGTTGTCCCACTAATGTCGTACCCCTAGAAGGTTTCCCAATATAGCCCTAATATAGCTATGATGTGAGCAAATGTCGTCCCCTAGAGTCCCTTAAACGCGTCCCTAGACCCAGGGGTACAACCTTAGGGTACAAGCCTGAAACCTTTAAATATACCCCTTTACACCTCTACACCCCTATATAGCATGCTTCTTTCCACCCCTACTAAACCAGAAACAAAACCCTGCAATCCAAAAACCTAAGAACCCTATCCCTCCAACACTGAAGCCTCAAACCCGACGACGTGGTAGGGCTCCTGCCCACCCCTACATACTACGAGATACTCCTATCCACACCCCCTTCCTACTAAACCCTGTCAATGCTCCCATGTATCCCTCAATACCCACCCTAGACCCGCCTCCCCGCCTCCTATATGCCCATCTATATGTCCTGAATCCTAAGCCGTGAAACCACAAACCCTAAACCCTGAACCCTAGATACCCCTATCTATACCCCCATGTGTCCCTTCAGAATCCCTATCACACCCTAAACACTACACCCGACACCTCTAAATACCTATCCCACCCTAAACCCTTAAGCCCTAAAATTCTTATCCCACCCTAAACCTGAAACCCTAAATTCTTAAACCCTAAATTCCTATCCCACCCCAAACCTTAAACCCTGAACTCTTAACCCCTATCCCACCCTAAACCCTAAACCTTGGGTACTGCCCCCCCCTCAGTAACAGTTGGATAATAACTATAATATGGCTATATATAGCCCTTAATAGGACCCCTAATATAGACTGTTACTGGGCAGGGGCAGTACCCAACCTAAACCCTATGCTCCCACTCAATGCTGCATAGCTGGCCTGAGAACGACCT